TTGCTATCCTGCATCGCCGTCTAGCGCCGAGTAAGACCATCGTACCAATTGTCCACTACCTTAGGAGACATGAATTGGCCCATATAATGTGAAACCCACCAAGCGAACAAGGATAAGAAGTAAGCACGACTCCTCCTCCAGTGGCCGCGGACTCCTTCATTCAGACGAATCCACGAGGACGACCGGGGAGGAAGAGGGGGCCAAAATCTCCCATACGTTTACCTCCGTCGATGATTTCGAATTCCGGGCCATTCTCGGGGGCGATCGGTGACTGGGATTGGGAAGAGGGGAAGTAATAATTAGTTGGGTCTAGTTCAGTAGGGATGACCGGGGTGTAGGAGGAGAGGAAGGGAAACGATATTACTCCGTATAACGATGAGCTGAGATGAAGGGCTTCTATCCTATCATTCCCCTCTGGCTGGTCTACTACGGTCGACTAACTAACAGTAGCTCGTTCTTCCGGCGACAACCCATCGGTGCAAAAATTCAAAAATCAAAGCGCGACCTGACGATCGAGTGTGATTGGGGGCCAAACACTCGAGCGAAGATCCTCCTGGATGAATAGTTTAGATTAAACATGAGCACAGGAATACTGACGGGTTGACTGGCCGTCTCTACTGGCAGCTATCGCTGCACGCAGGTAATTAACCTTACATTGCATATTCCGTAGTTACCCGTGTACAGAGATCGACTGCACGATCGGGCAGGAGGGCGTTGATTGGCTTCTGAAGAGGTTCTCCTCTTCGACTACGATGAGAGCGAGTCCATATGACTAACCGTCCCTAATAATAGACCCGAGAAGCGTTGGTGGTATCGGAGGAGCAGTTGAGAGGAATCTGTCATGCGCTGCATAGATTGACAGGTTTATGCGACGGATTTTGAATATAACTAGTTCTTATTACCCAGCTCGTTGTACAGTACAGATGTAGAGGGTATACGTGTAGAGGTTATATATATGTGCATGGATATAGACACTTAAACGTATATGTCAGTTCAGATATGATAGTAACACCATAGTGCTTAAGCCAATGTATATCGCTGCCACCTATGATCTTCTTAGCTAATTCAAATATTAATTATCCAGGGTGTCGTGACTACGGAGTACCCAGTACCCCGTCACTTCTGTAACCCCATTATTCTTCCCATCCAAATGAACCGGTCATCAAATTGGGTCCGGATCAATCGACCAGGATGGCAGGTGTAACACCGTCCATCCTGTCCCCGGCGCCACCCACATTCCACAGCACCTATCACGGACGGGGAGGGGGAGGACCCCGAGCGATGATCGGACCCGTGAGAGTGAGAAATAATGGCAGAGGAGAAATCCCAATTCACAAGGAATTGAATGAGACAAGATCCCCGCCCAGCAAACCGCCAAGGCAGCGAGCCAAGTGGAGCCTTCATCCCGGGGCGCGTCGCCCACGGACCGCCTGGAATCAAGGAAGGGCCGGCGAGGCGTGGCGGGTGATTGGGGGAGGGACGGATTCTGCACAGGCCGGGTGGATTGGCTGACGGGGGGATCGACTGGCCGTGGGAGCGACCACGTAGTTGCGACTAGTAGGAGTAGTTGTTGGTTGAAAATGGGACACGGCCACCGTTGACGCCGCGAACCGTCAGATTCGATCATTTTCCTAGGAGGTCTTTTTTTTTTTTTACCACTCCTGACGGAGTTACAATTTATTAGCCTTTTTTATTTTTTTTTTTCTTTCCTAATTAATTGTTCACTGTATACGGAGTAGTGTTGTGACTTGTGAGTTATGACGATGATGACGACGGGGCGGTTCGCTCGTCTGTGGTTTTAATTTTCTCCTCCCCGGGTAGAAGTACTTTCCTCTTCGCGTCTTTTATTTTTATTATTCAATTTCATGTGTTGGCTGGTCTCTTCCCCTATCATCTTTCCTTCAATGTGATGGTCTCACGGTCTGACCACAACCACGATCGTAGCCCACCCAACCTCTTTTTTTTCTTTTTCTTTCTTTTCCCCCCATATTTTCCTTTTCTTTTTTTACTAGCCCCTTTTCATTCTCGTCCCTCTCCTTGCTGACATACTGGCGGAACCTGTAGGGTCTGGCCCGTTTGATCTTAGTTGAGGATGGCGACGGGATCCAGGTTTCAGCTGCAACGACCCGTGGGTGCATATGCGAGTGCCGACCAGGATCGTCCGAGGCGGATTTCGGGTGGATTACAGATTACACCTCGTTTCCCCTTCTTTCTTGTTTCTCTTCGGGGGAATCTGTCACGAGAGTACTGAGTACAGTAGAACGGTGGGTGGGGGAGAGAGAGAGAGAGAGAGGCTGGGTCACTCAAATTTCCTGCGATTGAATCCCTTTCTTTTTTTTTTTCTTTCTTGTTCGATTCATGGCCGTGTTCACTTCTCTTCCATGAGTCGACTCCGCAGGGACCCGCGATCTCCCGTGCAGCCGAGCCAAGGTCTAGTTGACGCGGTGGTCACTAGTCGGTCTGTTCGTGAAGAGTTAAACTTCGCTCTGCTGTGCGTGTTGTGCATAGATAACCTACAGTACATACTACATACATACGGCGGTGCTTCCTTCGGTCGGTGCGGTCAGGATGTATGTGCATATCGCCTGCTGTACCAAGGGAATAGATCATGCACGCTAGAAATAGAAAGTCGAGGTTCATTTTACTTGCATGCCCTTCACCGTACATAGATGACGTAGGGATGAATCGTGAGGAGCTCAACACTTTGGTAAGACAAGACAGAGAGGCAAAACGAGAACTCAGAAGGGAAAATAAGAGAAAAAAAGAAAAAGAAAGAAAAAAAAAAAAGAAACAGACATCATCCCCAGCCAACCGGCTCCAGCATTCAGTAGGCAGAAAAGTTTGCGACACCAACGGTTAAACAAACCTCATCATCATGATTCAGTTTCCCTTCCCGAGTTGACCGATAAGACTCGTTGAATGACAATCCCTTCGCCTTCGCCTCTCTGGGAGAAAACGCCATGAGCCAGCCACGACTCGGTATTGGCGATTGGCCGCTCTCTCACCGTCTTTTCTCCCGTTTTTCTCCTACAGTAGACTGTTTCATCTGGTCTTTCCTTTTTCTTTTCCTGTTTTCTTGTTTCTTTTGGGGCAACTGCATACAGACAGAATACCGAACAAGTACTCCGTAAACACAAAGTGCATGCATACATCACCCTTCCATTTCCCATCCCCCCTTGATCGGGTCTGTGGAATGTTGTGTCACCTGAGCTCTTCGTCATGTGCCTCTCTGTCTTTTTCTTTTTCTCTTTTTTCTTTTCTTTTTTTCTTTGCCCCCCCTGCCTTCTTTTTCTCTGTCCTTCTTCGACTGGTTCCAGATGGCGGTCTCAATCGGCTTGAACCTTCCATCCGACCAAGTTACTGTAGTGAGTTAGCCACCGCACGTACTCCGGATGTACCGACTACCGACCCAGCAGCTGGAAGCATGCAGGCGAGTCTAAACGGGGCTAGGGACAGCAGGGATAAAAAACCAAATCGAAATCTGAGATGGCGAAATTCGATGGTGCGGTGGCCTAACTATTGGGTATTGTCGTCGTCATCATGATTATCATCATCCGAACCGACGTCGAAACCCATTACCTGGGCCAGTTCGATTCAATTAATTGAATTGTTCTGTTCATTGTATTGTACTCCGTTGCATTCATTGTTAGGGTCGGGTCGGATGGTTTGTTTGCAAGGGGAGGGATTATTGACCTGGTCTGGTCTGGTCTGACCTGGTTGCGTTGGTTATCTATCTTGCAATGGTGTGCGGTGTGTGTATGTGTATGTGTGTCTCTGTGTCTGGGTCGGCCTTTTTCAGGTTGTACATGTAGAACGTACTACCACGTCGGTAGGAATTTTAGCCACCTACCTGGCTGTCTGGTTCTCTGTCTGCCTATCTGCTTGCCCAGGTATGCAAGGGAAAGTACGTACGGTGTTGGCTCTGGCATCTGTCCTGCTGTTCTGGTGGATGGTCAAGAGGGAGCAGACATGGACATTTGAAGACATCTATATATCTATCTACTATAGCAGAGTAGAGCACTACGCAGTACCCATATCCCCCAACTAACTCGTATCTTAAAGTTCATACCAACTACCTTCCCACCGTCGGACAGAAACGATTTCGTGAGTCCCAAGGACCTCTGAGACGAGCAGATTTGCTCGAGTCCCAGCAGCTGTGCACACACGCACCCTGGGTGACATTGTTCCTGCATCTCGGAGCATGTATGTAGCTATCCATTTGGATAGCCATAGCAGTGTAGTATGTACGTACACTGTGTGTGCCTGTATGTTGCTATGCGAACCTTATTCTACAGAGCCGCTGGAGGTTGCGTTTTTTAGATGCCGTCGCGTCGATGGGGATTTCAGGGCTTGATCAGTGAGGTTTTCTATCCCGGTTCAGTACTGAGGTTTTGTTAGTGGCATGTTTACTCAGGGCGTATCTAGTGATCAATTATGTGTACGTTGAACTACTTTCAGGCTTTTAGTTTGTGCAAGTATTGTGATTATAGCGCCTTGTCAGATATTTGAATATACTTGCCCGTTCCTGAAGACTATACAGACTGGTACAAATCAAGATCTGATGGATTCTGAGCCTGAATTGAGTGGCGGACTGTCCGGAACCAATGGACATGTGTCTAAGTCTGGATCAACAAACTGGACACCTAACTGTCAACGAAGCTAGAGGTATGTGCATGTTCCCCTGCTCCTTTTTTGATGAATGCTTTGTGGTCAATGGAATTCAAGGACTGGGTCCGGTCATTCTGTAAACTGCCTATTTCTCCGTTAAAGCAGGTGTGCATTCGTCAGAATCTTATCATCAATGATTATTGCTACAATAAAAGCTTGCTAGATCCGGTCCTGATGAAACATTCAAATTCTCACCCAGACAAGATAGCCGTTAATAATTCCTTCGATCCAGAATGACTTGCCAAATTCGGTCGCCATGAGACATCCAGCTCCCGCGCAACGAGATTGCCGTCAACGATTCTTTCGCTCAAAATGACAAGAGCTTTGACAGATCAGGGATCACTGGCCCACCCACCATCAACAACATACGAGCTCCCCGTGACGCCGCTCGCCTCATCACTCCCTAAGAACACAATCACCTTAGCAACATCTTCCGGAACCAGATCCCTCTTAATGCTCTGATTCTGAAAGACCTCCGCATGATACTCCGGCGTCAAGACATCCCTCTTCTGCCTCTCCGTCGCAATAGCCCCCGGCATGACACTATTGATCCGGATATTATCGCCTCCGAACTCTTTGCTCTGCACGCGCGTGAGACCCATGATCGCCGCTTTACACGCCGCATAAACCGGCTGACCAGCGGCCGAGATACGCCAGGAGATGGAGCCCAAATTGACGATACTCCCTGCGCCGGAGCTTTTCATACCCGGGACAAAGGCCTGGGTCAGGAAGAACACATGCCGGAGGTTAGTGTTCACGTTGAGGTCCCACGCCTCGGACGTGACCTGAGGCGTAGCAAGACGGGCACCGCTGCCCGTCGCGGCGGCGTTGTTGACCAAGACGTGCACCGGGCCGTGCTGTTCCAGGATCTGTGCAGCCGTCGCTTGCAACTCGGGAAGATCCATCAAGTCGCAATGATAAAAGACCGGCGGGTGGATCGGAGGCCCGCCGCGTGTTTCGACCTCGTTGGTCCGTGCCATGACCTTGCTGATTGTGCTTCGGGCTGCCTCGTCCGCGATGTCGAGGAAGATCACTTTACTGCCTTGCAGGGCGAAGCGCTCGACGGTCGCGGCGCCGATTCCTTCTGCGCCGCCGGAGATGACGACGGTTTTGCCGTTCAGGCTGGGGTAGATTGCGGGTGCTGTTGACATGGCGATGGAGGTAGTGTGAACTTCTGTTGGTTGAGAAACGAACACGAAAGGGGGTGCTTGGTTTTATGTTTATCTTGACGTCGGCGCTTCTGCTGATCACGAGGATTGGCATTGCCCAATCGGGACTCGCACATACAAGTAGCAGCGGGGACGATGACGCATATTTGGATATACCTGGCACTACACAATGTAAGCACCGTAGCAAGGAGGCCAGGGTATGCGTAGAATGTGCAATGTTTGATATTGTTGGAATTTGAGGTCTAGAAAGCAGTCAAAGTGGTCAAGAACTTTATAGATTGAAAAAGGACTATGACGACTGGTCCCGCTTGGACGGGTCCATTCATCGGCCAGACGGGTCGCAAGTATAACATCGAACGGGTGCTCCGAGAAGAAACATGCCCTCCACACCATGTTTACGTTGCAACGTAAGTGGAAACTTATTGCTATCTACGGTCATCTAATTGAATCCCAGTGCCGACAATCAAACTTTCGTATTGAAACATATCCATGCGGTCAACTTCGACGACCTGGAAGCGATAAATAATAGACTGCGCAGCTATGCTAGCCATATACGCCTCTCTGAAGACACCATACCCGAAAGGTCAATGTTTGTTTTCAGGTACTTTGCAGACCATCTTTTGCACTTTGCTCAGATGGACCTACCTCTTAAGGTGATGAAAAGAATACTCAAACGCGCCCTTCGTGGAATAGCAGAGCTTCATGAGCAGGACATTGTGCACACTGGTAAGCTGATCCTGTCGAGAGTCGATGAGCGGGGGCTCACTGTATGCAGATATCAAGCCAGACATTATTTTTATTGATTGCGGGAATAAACAATCTGAGACTTTAGTTGAACGCGTTCAACTCGGGGATCTTGAGGATGCCGTACATATCCCTCTTGGTTCGTCCATGATTGGGAAATAGGCAGGAAACTGGATGTGGAGGAGCCCTGAGGCCCACGCTAAGGGGCCTGTGAACAAGCCATCTGATGTTTTCTCGTTTGCTCTTGTCGTAAGTCTTGAGATAACTCCACTTCTGACGAGTACTCACCTTGCTTTCAGTGCATTTATGCGATTCATAAAAGAGTGGTTTTCGCTGTCGGCGAAGATGAGTTGGACGAGGGCGTGGACCCGTTGGCTGTTGTGATTGAACGCCAAATTTCCTATTTTGCAGACGAGGAAGGGCTAAAAGGCTTCCTGAACTATCTTGGGGATAGTCCTTGGACCCAAGTTTTTGAAGTCATTCGAGATGGTTTCAATGAAGACAACCCACGGAAGCCCTTTTCTCTTTGGAGCGGCGTTGATAATGACTTCAAAGATTTGATTTGCCCTATGACAAATTTTGATCCAGCGAAAAGGATCACAGCGCGCGAGGCACTGGTTCATAGGTGGTTTGCGGATGATTGACGCTGCTGTGTCTTACCAATAATCTCTTCTAGCCAGTTATTTTCCAGTGAGGACTTTGCCGCTTCACAGCTAATGGAGCCATGGAACATTTCCCCCCTGTGACAGTATGCCAGGGCCGATACCTAAGGGATCTAAGGGCCCGATCTCTTCCGGGCTACCTCTTGCAAAATGGTTAAAGCTTCCTATATTAGAAAAAAACATTTTTATGATAAGATCTTTATATAAAAGAAGAGTTTTTCTTTATATAGGGATACAACAGTTAAGTACAGGGATTTTCCGTTCTAATTATGCACCGGGATCTTCTAAAGATATATTCTTCATATCGGTTGTATAGACTTCATCACAGGACATTGACAGAATCGTAGTCCCCTGCCCAATCCAAGGGACAGGCTTATCCAAAGATATGCTATCGACAAGCGCAAAAAAGCAAACCAAGCAAGTCTATCCTATACAGGTGAATCATATGCTTTTCCCCCTTTTCACCAAAGGCACCTGACACCTCTTTTTCATCCCACCGTTAATCCGTCCTGCCAGCCAGCCAGCCAGCCAAAAAAAAAAAGAAAACCAAACCTCATGAAACACATCAAGTTTATAGAACAGCAAAAAGACAATAATGAAAGCTGAAAATCACGGGACCGGTTGTTTTACGAGTTGCGTTTTCCCGCTTGCGAGAATATCTGGTTCCAGATATCGATCCACTGTTGTTGCTTGTACGACAGCTTTTTCTGCGGGTCACGGAACGTCCCAGATAAGATGTCTCGGATACGAGCGCTGAGAACCTTGAGAGCCAGCATCGACTTCCAGTCTCGAACGCTGAATCGTATCCGATTGGCATCAATGGAGATAACGCCGGAGTACATCTGTCAAAGAAAGAAGTCTCGTTAGATTTGCGTGGCCAATGCAGTTGCCTGCTCTTGGACATACCTTGAACTCGGGCTCCCCACACAGCAAGGCAATGGCAAAGTCATCGACCGCATTTGTCTCGAAGGCGTTATAGTTGCGGTTGCGTCCTTGCATGATGTGGTAATATGAGAGCCACTTGATGGCGGGATCGGATTGCTTGTTCACCGACGTGGGATGCAGCGTTACCGACTGATTGTTGGCCACATTCCGCCATCCTTTGCCTTCGCGGGTGAGTAGCTTCGGATAGAAACTCCAGGCGATGACCGAGTTGACAATTACGTCGTTAGTGCTGTTCACGTCGTATTCTTCGGGGATGATGAAGAACTGGCGCTGGCGGCCGCCATATCGAGCTCTATTATGATGTTAGGCATGTGATTGACGATGGAAGTTGACAAGCTGATATACCTGTTCAAGGACGCTTTCTGGGAAGGATCGAGATTCAATAGCCCTGCGTCTGCAATTGACACGATAAGTTGCATCTTGATATCCTCAATGTTCAGCAGCGTTTGAGGGCTGAGGAAATTCTTGCGGCAGAATGAGAATTCGTTAGCGCCGGGCGTGCTCTTCGTGCGTTTCCAGGCGCAGTAGGCATTGTACACAGTCAAGAGATCAGAGTCGCCTACAATAGTCAGTTTGGATGAACAAAAAGAAGCATCGGTCGTTTCTCACCCTTCCTGAACGAGAGCCTCGCTAGGTCTTTTTGGGTATTCGAGCCCATCGTGTTCACAAAAGGCGATTTGGAGGAAAGGATGGCGGCAATACTGATAGACGCGTCCAGGCATTTAAAGAACGCACCATGGATAATCAGCTTTCCAAGGAAGACGTCTAGCGGCAGCTTCGCAAGCTGCATTCCTAAAGGCGTGAGATTTTCTGCGTTCGTGAGAGCCTTGACCTCCTTCAGGGAGTCGATTGCTCGGCGGATGTTCTTTGATGAAGGCGGGTCGAGTGCTTCGAGAAGAGTTTGCTCCACTTCACCCAACTTGCAAATCTTGACTCGCAATACGAGATCTTGCAAGGATAACCGAAGCATCTCGGGTGTTTGTTGCTCAGCGAGCTACACATCGTCAGCATTGGGGCCCAACCTCTGGATAAGAAGCCATACCGATTTTTCATGTCTGTACTTGGTGAACAAATGGAAACAGATTCCATTTTGGACACGTCCAGCTCTTCCACGTCTTTGCTTCGCATTCGCCCGGGAAATGAAAGCCTCTACTAGCCGCGAAAGCTGCCGTCTCTCGTCAAAGCTAACACCTTCTGTTAGTAAAGGGCTTCAATGAAGGTTACTAAAAATTTAGTCCACTTACCGCATAGTCTTTTCTTTGCCCGCATCGATAACAGCAGTGATGTCCGGGATTGTAATACCTAGGCATGGTTAATGACAACACTTGGCCATTGATTGGGGAAACGCACCAGTTTCTGCAATGTTGGTGGCAATCACAATCTTTCTCGTACCCGGCGGTGGCACATTGAAAGCTTTCTCTTGGTCTTCACTGGCGATGGATGAGTGGAGTGCGTGGACAATCCACCCCTTCTGAAACTCTGGTTCCGACAATATCTCATCATTCAAGCGTCGAATTTCTGCCATACCAGGCATGAAAATCAGAATGGCTTTACTGTAATGCTCCATCTCTGAGCTTGTTGCAAGCTTGATGAGTAGCTTCCTGATCAACTGATAGTCGAGGCGATATTCATCAAAGTTGAGGATCGTTTCCCGCGTCTGCTTGGAGTATCCTTCAAGCGCGGCTTGTAGGCCACCTGCCGAATCACCCTGGCCATTTTCGGGAGCCATTTCGTCGGTATCCTCATCCACCAAGGCGTTTGAGTCGTGCTCCGCCAGGCGGTAATTTGTCATCTCAACAGCATCTTCCAGGAACTTCATTTCCACTGGGAAAGTTCGACCTGGTATGTTCATCACAGGAACGCCCCCTAGGTAGGTAGAGAAGCGTTGGGCCTCGAGGGTAGCCGACATCAGGATCAGTTTCAATTCCGGCCTCTTCTGCATCAACCGCCTGAGAACGATGAGAAGGAAGTCACTATCGATCGTACGTTCATGAACTTCATCAAGTACGACATGAGTGATATCTTGGAAATCGTCAGGGCGCTCTAGCATTCGTACCACAACTCCGGTCGTCCTAATGGATATTAGCATCTACTCCTGGTAGAAAAAGTTAGCGAGAAAGGGATGATTGGAAGCATACGCGAAGACTAATCTCGTGGATTGGCTGACTTTGCTCTCTAGTCTGACCGCAAAACCGATGAGAGAGCGAGACGTTCCCACGTCATTTTTGCTCTCACCCAGTTCTTCGCTGACTCTTCGAGCCAAAGAGATAGCAGATATCCTTCGGGGTTCTGTGACAAAAATCTTACAAGGACGGCCTTGCTGCATTTCATGTTCAAGAATGAAGGATGGGATCTGCGTACTTTTTCCGCTACCCGTTTCACTGCAGATGATGAGCGCACGATGAGTGTCTAGCGTACTGAGTATTTCATCTTTGAAATTCCAGATCGGCAGGTTCATCCTTCCCAGGGCCATATGCTGGAAAGAAGCTGTTGATGACTTTTCTGCCCAGATATTCTGCAGCAGTTGAGACTGGGTGTTCGACGATTCCTTGCTACCAGATGACTTGGCAGAAGAATCCATTCTGTTTGGAGTTCCATTTCTTCTGCGGAAATTGTCCAACAAGACGACATCATCTTCGAAGCTCCCATGATTTTCTGTTATCAACTTCTTCAAGCTCCTGACGGCCGTCTTATCCACATCGTCCTCTTGAGCCTTCTTTGCGGTTGCAAACTCAGTCCACAGATCTCTCCATACGGCCGGAAGGCGCAGGTATGACTTTCCTTCCTTTGAGCTCTGTGGGAACAGAATGAAAAGAGCTAATGTTGAGACAAATGCTTCTGCCTGCTGCGGCGTCGGTGTTGCCAAGTTCTCCATTGATACGAAGGTGGCCCATGGGCTTGACTTGTGAGTAACTGCATCCCATTCGAACTGGAATGGACGATCTTGGGGCTTAGACCACCTCACTTCAACTGCCCTGCGGTTGGTATGTGACGAAGGGGAAAAGTCTTTGTATGTAACTGTGGACCCGGAATCCCTAAAAGAACAGCAACAGTTGTTAGACGGGCTCATGCAAAAGCTACGAAAGAGGGAAACCTATGTTCTTACCTTGCCCTGCAAGTCTCTTCTAGCACGCGGCGAGGATTTAAGCCGGTCCATTTCCCAAAGTCACGCATTGTCACAGCGGCTTTGTTGAGTTCTTCGGTGATCACTCCAGCTTCCAGGATTGGTTCTTCACCCTGAAACATGTCACCTAGAAGGTCTGCAGCATCGTCCATGTCATCTTTTGGAGGCGAGGCTTGCTCTGACTTTTCGTCTTTATCTCCGTTGGCATTCGGAGCGGTTTTCTTTTCGGGCTCCATTTGTCGGGAAAAGGCAGCCTCTTTTCGGAGGTCTTCCAGCTTCTCTTTCCACCGATGTTCAGCCTCTGCGCGGTCGAAAAGTACATCATTTTCAATGCTGGCAATTTTACGCTGCAATCTTATTACTTGCGGGTTTTCGCCGTCAGAGTCGGTGGTCTCTCGGCCTGATTTCTTCCCCCTTCTGGGTTTGTCGAAGAGGTCAGGCTGCAGGCCATATAATTTAGTTTGCAAATCCAGAAACTTGGGCATCAGGGTATCAGGGTCCAGAGAACTATCCGAGTCATAAGGACTCGAGGGAATTGATTCCCTAATTTCGCTTTTCGCCGGCTTGGCTTTGCTTTTATCCTGAGTTACTTTGGGAACCGGGGATTGCGCTGGCTCACGATCTAAGGTCGATTAGTGATTCCGGGTCCATACACGATACGAAGCACTTGAAAGAGTTACCGGTTATCCAAGAGATATCCTTTTCATCTTTGCGCAGCTGCGTGGTTGTCTGTAAGTAGGACGGTAGTTCCTCCAGCTTGCAATGCATGGCGAGCCAGTCCAACGCCTCGTCCAGATTACACACCATATCCCTATTGGCATAGGTAAAATTACCGGCAAAATAAAGCAAAAGGTGCTTCAAGGCCTCCTCTACTCTTTCCTCGGGGAATCCAAGTTTCAGCAGGGTCTCCTTTAGGGTCCAGACTCTACCGTATAGCTCTTCTTCCGAGCCGGCCTTTTTCAGGCCATTCGGATCGCGACCCGGCAAGGGACTAAGTTCGCGCTCTTCCGTCTCAGCAAGACCTAGTATGGAGTCCAGTAAATCCCTAGGGAGCCACTCTAGAAGGTTTAATAATACGGCCTGTTGACGGAGAACTCTTCGCTCGGTTTCCAGTTTGCTGACTTGGCGGGCGGCGTCATTCTTGCATTTCGCTGCGTATTTATCCACCAGAATTTGTAGTTCCGCATCCTCCAGGTGCTTTTCTAGTTCCTCGGGGGAATAATTCTGGAGCGAAGAGGTGTCTTGCGAAGTGGGCGCAGGTTGGCTGTTCTCCGCGGGGGTAGGTCGATCACTCTCCGAAACCGATTTCGATTCGGCAGCCGTTGTTGGAGCTGTAGATTCAGTAGAGGCGACTGGTTTTGGTTTCGAAGGTACCGAGACTGTTGCGAACCCTCTCGCCGGGTTAGAGGCGGGCTTCTTCTTTTTCTTGTTATTTGGTGGCATAGTGGGTGATGAATCACCGGGGATGGAGGGGGGGTATAAATGCAGAAAAGATACGAGAGAGGGGGGAGGAATAAAGATAGAAAGACAAGGTCAATAAAATAAAAGAAAACAGCACCAACTTAGTCTATGTCTTTCGCAGAACACCAAAGTTGAAGGAAATCGTTGAAAAGGAAAATGAATGTAAGTTCGGAGAGGAACGAGCGAGCGAGAAAGAGAGAGAGTAAGAGGCCTTGATTATTGGGCGGCGAGCTCTCCCCACAACGCCGAAAACTTTTATGACAACATCATCGACCGCAGGCTAAACTCCATTCTCCCGTCCCGACATGCTCCAGGCCCAAACATGGACGACTTTCCATGGGATCAAGTAAAGGCAGGGGACCTGGAGAGTCTGCATCTCGTTCTCTTTACGAGTTCGACTTCTCGCAGAACTCGTGCTCTCCAGGACCTGCGCGATCGAATTGGTAAGAGTGGCATGGCGCCGCCTTTGGAACCCCTCCCTCGCTCTCTTTCGTCGTTCATTTCCAGTTCTCACCCTTCGCTGCTCTCCCAGGTTCTGACCTCCCTCAAACAATTCGTGAGCCTCTCATCGAACTTCTCTTCAAGACCTATCCTCTCTACGTCGACCGTGCGTCCCGACAGGCCGTTCAAGAATGTCTCCGCTCGCTTCTGGTGGACCCAGTGTCGTCCGATCTTCTCAAGCTTCTCACCCAGAAGTTGCAAATTGAATCATCCAAGACCGGATTGGCGTCCAGTTCCGCCTTCGTGCTTCTAGAATGGTGCTCGATCTTGCTCCAGAACTTCAAAACCGATTCCGAGACGCCGCTTGCCGTCGTGTTGGATCTCATCGCCGTGGACGCCAAGGCTCTGGAAACCTGCCTCTCCGCCGGCCCCAAACCCGCCGTAAAGCAATCCGCGCTTAGAGTCACCCGGCGCGCTCTACGAGCCGTTTTCTCATCACCGACCCGAGGCGACGATGCCATTCGCGAATCCGTTCGCCGATTGACTAGCGATTCCACTGCCGGACAGAAGAATGCGCCCTTCCTTGGGGTTATCTCCGGGGTTTGCGCCCGTCTGCCAGGGAAGAAGGCTGTATTGGACGAGGAGAAGAAGGCCATCGTTGCGTTCTACATCAAGGAACTTGTCGGATCCAAGACTGCTCCCCCGAGTCATATTGCCAACGCCCTATTCGACTTCTTCGTCGCATTCGTATCGTATGATGATGTGGTGTCCGAGATCATCCCGCCTTTGGAGAAGGCCATCCTGCGAGCCCCGGAGGTGGTTTTCAGCGGTCTGGTACCGTCGCTTTGCTCCGCGCTGCCGGAAGACATTGATCTATCGGAGGTCCTGCAATCCCGGCTACTGAAGCACCTTCTTGCCAGCATGAAGTCGAACAATCCGGCCATCAGACAAGGCGCTGTCCAGTCCTTCGAATCGTTACTCTCTCGATCCAAGGCTGAGGGCTTGCTTCTCAAGATTGCGAGCGAGGTTATCGGTCCTCTGAAGACCCAAAAAATCACGAATCCCGAGCACCGTGCCGCATACGCCCAATCGCTCTCGGCCGTCCTCCCCTCGGTCAACATCTCCAAGGATGTGGTCCAGGGACTCGTTCCCGTGTTTACGCGTGAGTCCAATGAGATTGCATTGGAACAAGAGATCAAAGCGTTCTCTACCCACCTCGCGGTTCTTGTCAAATCGAATGTTAAGGTCAGCGATGACGTTGTCAACGCCATTGTCAAGGGATCTGCGGAAAAGCGAATCCCATTCCGCAAATTGTGGCAGCTCAATGTCGGCGAGGTCTTCTGGAATGCCGATCCTGCCAATCTAGTCAATCCTGAGGTGGTACCGCTCGTGACCAAATTCCTCAACAAGATGAAGGAATTGTTCACTGAAGTCTCTTCTAACCCCTTGCCATCGGCTCAGAGCGGCGCCTTATCCTCAGCTTACGTCTTTCTGGCGCTTGCTGGGCGCTTGGTTGCTGTGCAGGGCTTTGACCAGGCTGCGTGGGACGCCGTGGTGACCCAATCGCTCGCGCTCGGTCCCAAGCCCTCGTTCCTTTTGAACCCTAGAGCCTACTCTAAGTTAGCCTCACAAGCTGAGACTCAATGGGCCGTCAGGACTCTGGCCGCTGTCGCATCGAGCTCGAAATTTGAGGGCGCGGAAGATGCCGCTAAGGTTGCTTGGGGACAGGCGTTCATCTTCACTATTACTTCGCCTGGTCTTCACACAAACTTCCGAGAGAGCTCCGCTCGTACATTATCCGAGGTCCATCTCAAGAACATCGGGTTGATTAGCCGTGTCATGATAGATGCTTTATGGGCTTGGATTCTTTCCTCCAGGACCGCCGAGAAAGAATCCGCACCAGTTTCCGCGGGTCCTGAGAGCACAAGGTTCCTCCATCTCGTTGCAAAGGCCCTCTGCCCGAGCGCATCCAGTGTGCCCGAGTTGGAAAAGATAACCCCTGAACTGAAAGGCCAGCTTGTCAAACTCCTCATCCTTTGCCGGCCAGAGCTGATCCCCAATGTGTCATGGATTGCCTTGTGTCTGCGCACCGGAACGGACCCCGGGAACCTTGTTCGTGAGTTCCCAGAGGATTGCATGGAGCAGTTGAATCAAGTTCAAGCGGTACGGCCTCGCCATCCCTTTTTGGAATCAAATCCCTCTCTTACTAAACCTTCTACGTACAGGATCCTGTCCAATCCAAAATCCCTGAAATCGATGCTGCTGTGTGGGCCGCTGCCGGAGACTTGGCATTTGTAGCTCCTGATACTATGGTTCCCCAGCTTGTTGCTCAGATCCAGGACGATTTGGACCCCTCCCGACTTTCTAAGTTGACGCCGACTGACGCGGCTATCGCCCGGACACCCGAGGGCACCATGTTTGTCGATGTCTTGAGCACCAAATCCAAACAGCCTGCCTTTGACAAAAACACCAAGGACTATGACATTCTCAAATGGGAGGAAGATCTGCGCTCGCAGTTGGCTGCAAAGAAGGGCGAGAAACCGAAGAAACTCACCGCTGATGAGCAATCTAAGGTTAAGGCCCAGCTCGCAAAGGAGTCTAAAATCCGCGAGGAGGTTCTTCAGGAGGTTAAGAGAATCGAGAGGGGTGCCGGCATCATTCAAGGCCTCGCGGATGGCCCTGCCGTTGATGCTGATGGTTGGATCAATGCCGCCGTGAGGTCCTTGCTGGCCGTCTCGGAGGCTGGTGCCGGTCTATTCACCGGTGACACCATTTCCAAGACGTACGTCAAGTGTTCCGAGAAGCTATCTACCCGATTGGGCCCCTTGCGCACTTTCGTCGGTGTTGCTACCTTGCGAGCCCTGGGCAAAAGCAACCTTGCTCCTGAGATTGAAATAGAGCCTCTGGGACAACTTGTAACGAGAATCCTCTACCGTTTGCGCTTCGCTTCCGAACAACGCCCCTTCGACATCTCGTCTTTGGCCTATCTCCTTCCGCTGATTTTTGCCGTCATTACCCAAAATGGGGTTGACGAGCAGGATGCGGAGCAAGAGGGAGAACAAGTGCTGCTTGCTCTTGAATTCCTGTCTTTCCATTCCGGCTCGTTCGGTGATGAACGTCTTCCTCGCGTTGCGGTGCTGGAGCACTTGCTCATCTCGATGCAGAAGTACACCACTCATTACAAGCTGATCAAGGATACTCTGTTTGATCTGTGCAGATGCATCTCGCCAAACATTTCCAAAGAAGAGCTCGATGTTCTCCTCAAGGGTACCATCGTCTCGGATGTGTCGGTTCGGACATCCTTCTTGCAAGCCATCGATGCTGAGATTGATTTAACCGACCTCGATTTCTACGAACAAATCTGGTTGGAATGCCACGACCAAGTGGAAGAAAATGCCGAACTTGCAGAAACAATCTGGGAAGATAATGCATTGGAGGTCGATGACTCCACGTACGGAAAAATTATTCCATACCTCGGTTCCAAGGACGCGCAGCTCCGAGGTGCTGCTGCTCGTGCGCTGGCACATGCCATTGAATCGAAACCTTCAGTGTTTGGCGATATTGTCTCCGAGCTGCAATCCAAGTATGAAATCGAGGCCAGGCCCAAAGCACCAGAGAAGGACGCATACGGAATGCCCAAGAAGATGGACTTGACAGATCATTGGGAATTCCGCAGCGGCATTGCTCTTGCCTTCAGTGCAATGACCTCTGGGTTTGAGGGCGACCAGATTGTATCTTTCCTCCGATTCTTGATTGAGAGAGGTCCTCTGATCGACCGTAGCGGTGTGGTCAGGGCTCAAATGGCTGAGTCCGGTCAATCTATCATTGCTGCGCGCGGCCAGCAGAAGGTTGAAGAGTTGATGATCCTCTTGGAGACTACCTTGGAGACATCAGACAAGGGAAGTGAAACCTCTGACCTGCTGAACGAAGCAGTGGTGGTCTTGTACGGATCGATTGCCCAGCATCTCAAGGCCGATGATCCCCGTTTGCAGACCGTCATTCAGAAACTCCTCGCCACTCTTCCGACGCCTTCGGAAAGTGTGCAGGCCGCTGCTTCCGCATGCCTTCCACCTCTTATCCGCCTTTCTGGCTCCCGAAGCGCTGGATATGTTCAGGAAATGCTGGACCAACTCCTGCAGTCGAAGAAGTATGCCACACAGCGCGGTGCCGCCTATGGTCTTGGTGGTATCGTTAGCGGTAAGGGTATCTCTACCCTTCGCGAATTCCAGGTCATGTCCCATCTTCGCGCAGCCGCGGACAACAAGAAGGAGCCACACCAGAGACAGGGTGCCCTGTTGGCTTACGAGCTTTTTGCGACTATCCTTGGTCGCATCTTCGAACCATATGTGATCCAGATAGTCCCGCAACTTTTGGCTGGCTTCGGTGACCCTAACGCCGACGTCCGTGATGCTTGCCTTGACGCAGCTAAGGCTTGTTTCGCCAACCTCAGTTCCTATGGTGTCAAGAAGATCCTTCCCACCCTGCTCGACGGTCTCGATGACACGCAATGGCGTAGTCAAAAGGGAGCCTGTGACCTCCTCGGAGCCATGGCCTATCTCGACCCGCAACAGCTGGCGGCGAGTCTGCCGGCCATTATTCCTCCGCTGACGGTTGTTCTCAATGACACTCACAAGGAAGTACGCAATGCCGCCAACCGAAGTCTTCAACGATTCGGTGAGGTCATCAGCAACCCAGAGGTGAAGAGCTTGGTCAATGTGCTCTTGAAGGCTCTGAGTGACCCCACCAAGTTCACCGACGAGGCTCTTGATTCGCTTATCAAGGTTTCCTTCGTTCATTACCTGGATGCTCCCTCTTTGGCGCTGGTTGTCCGTATCCTTGAGCGTGGTCTTGGAGACCGGTCGACGACCAAGCGGAAATCCGCACAAATCATCGGCAGTTTGGCCCATCTCAGTGAGCGTAAGGATCTCATCACGCATCTGCCAATCATCGTTTCTGGCTTGCAGCTGGCCATTGTCGATCCTGTCCCCACCACTCGTGCGACCGCGTCCAAGGCTCTTGGATCTTTGGTCGAGAAGCTTGGAGAAGACGCTCTTCCCGACCTCATTCCCAACCTTATGTCTACGCTCAAGTCAGATACCGGTGCTGGTGACAGACTGGGATCTGCTCAAGCCCTGTCTGAAGTTTTGGCCGGATTGGGAACCACGAGACTCGAGGAGACCTTGCCTACGATCTTGCAGAATGTTTCCAGCTCGAAACCTGCTGTCCGTGAAGGTTTCATGACCCTCTTCATCTTCCTTCCGGCCTGCTTCGGAAACAGCTTCGCCACTTACCTCAGCAAGATCATCCCGCCCATTCTTGCTGGTCTGGCTGATGACATTGAGTCGATTCGCGAGACCTCCCTCAGGGCAGGTCGCTTGCTTGTCAAGAACTTCTCTTCGAAGGCTATCGACTTGCTTCTTCCAGAGCTGGAGCGCGGTCTTGCGGACGACAGTTACCGCATCAGGTTGAGTTCCGTCGAGCTGGTGGGTGATCTGCTCTTCAGCATCACGGGTATCACGGCCAAGGCCGACGACGAAGAAGAGGTCGAAGAAATCGCCCAGGCCGGACAATCCCTGCTGGAGGTTCTTGGAGAGGAGAGGAGAAACAAGGTCCTGTCCGCTCTGTTCATTTGTCGCTGCGATACTTCGGGTATGGTCAAGAGCGCAGCCATGGCTGTTTGGAAGTCACTTGTTGCTTCTCCTAAGACGCTCAAGGACATGGTGGGCACTCTCTCTCAGCTCATCATCCGTCGCCTTGGCTCCTCGAACATGGAGCAGAAGGTCATTGCTAGCAATGCTCTGGGTGACCTGATCAAGAAGGCCGGAGAATCTGTTCTCTCGACCTTGCTGCCTACTCTCGAGGAGGGTCTGCGCACGTCGCCTGATGTGGATGTCAAGCAGGGTATTTGCATTGCCCTTCGTGAACTCATTACTGCTGCTTCGGTCGACGCTCTCGAGGACTACGAGAAGGTACTCATCTCCACTGTCCGGGTGGCTTTGGTGGACAATGACGAGGACGTTCGTGAGGCTGCCGCAGAGGCTTTCGACGCTTTGCAGCAGATCCTAGGCAAGAAGGCTGTCGACCAAGTTCTGCCTCATCTTCTACTCCTGTTGAGAAACGATGAGGATGCTGAGCAAGCGCTATCCGCGCTCCTGACGCTTCTCACCGAGCAGACTCGGGCCAATATCATCCTGCCCAACCTCATCCCGACTCTGCTCACCGCGCCCATCTCGTCATTCAACGCCAAGGCTTTGGCCTCGCTGGCTGAAGTGGCCGGTTCCGCCATGACCCGCAGACTGCCAACTATCCTGAACTCGCTCATGGACAACATCATTTCGACCACCGACGATACTCATCGTGAAGAGCTGAGCAGTGCGTTTGACACCGTCTTGGTGTCTGTGGACGAGTTTGACGGCCTCAATGTGGTGATCAACGTCATGCTGACGCTCCTGAAACACGATGATCACCGCCGTCGCGCCAATGCAGCGATCCACCTGACCAAGTTCTTCTCGGGTGCTTCCATCGACTTCTCTAGATACTACCCCGACTTGATCCGCGTCTTGCTCATCTTGTTCGATGACAGCGATAAGGACGTCGTCAAGGCTGCCTGGACTGCTCTAAGCGGACTCACTTCTCACATGCGTAAGGAGGAAATGGAGGTTCTTGTTGTTCCTACGCGTCAAGTCCTACGGGGAGTCGGCGTTCCCGGGGCAGATCTCCCTGGATTCAGCTTGCCAAAGGGTATCACTGCCATCCTGCCCATCTTCTTGCAGGGTCTCCTCAATGGTACTGTCGACCAGCGTACGCAGGCAGCTCTCGCCATCGGCGACATTGTCGACCGTACCGCTGCTGCTTCCTTGAAGCTGTTTGTGACCCAAATCACTGGTCCTTTGATTCGTGTCGTTTCTGAACGCTCGGTTGATATTAAATGTAAGTTTCCTGTCGTTTTGCATATTTAGTGTAACGCTAATGGGTTTGTCAAGGTGCCATTTTCCACACTCTCAACAAGCTTTTGCAGAAGATCCCGCTGGCCGTCAAGCCCTTCTTGCCCCAGCTTCAGCGAACATTTGCCCGTGGTCTGGCAGACTCGACTAGCGAGACTCTGCGCAACCGTGCAGCAAAGGGTCTTGGAATCTTAATCACATTGACCCCGAGGGTCGATCCTCTGATTGCAGAGCTCATCGCTGGAACTAAGACCCCCGACGTCGGCGTGAAGAACGCAATGATGAAGGCCCTTCAAGAGGTTGTCGGCAAGGCTGGTGCCAATATGAGCGATGCTTCCAAGAACTCCATCCTCGCCCTTATTGACGACGATGCAAGCGACCAGACGGGTATGTTAACGTCCTACAATAGTATGGGATTCTTTTGTCTAACTCTTCCACAGACGCTGTTGCTATTACGAACGCCAAGTTGTTGGGAGCGCTCGTCAAGGTGCTTCCTGCAGCCACGGCAGGACCTCTTATCAAGTATGTTACCACCTTAGTTCTCGCCTTAGGGCTAGTGCTTTGTTTGCTAATATCCTCGTTCTAGGAGTCGCGTGCTCACGACGCACATGTCGCATGGCTCAGTTTTGGGACTGAATGCACTGCTCGTCGAATCTCCGTTGTCTCTGACGGAACAATACTCCTCGGAAACGCAGTCGATTATTTGCCAGGGTGTTACGCATAAGGATGTAAGTGGCGTTCTATCCCCAGAATCGTTAACTTCTTTGACTAATATTGGATAGCCCTTCATTGCCGACAACACTGTCCTTGCCGCTGGCAAGTACTTGTTGGTGGAAGATGAACATCGCAACTTCGAGAGCACCAAGGCCATCTTCGAAGCCCTGGCTCCCTGCATCCAGCCAGGAACGCCTTCCGACACCCGTCGCTTGGCCCTCGTGGTTCTCCGTACGGTCAGTCGACTCCACCCGGAGATGACTCGACCTCACCTGGCGCTGCTCGCCCCGCCCGTTTTCGCCAGCGTCCGCGACGTCGTCATCCCTGTCAAGTTGGCCGCGGAGTCCGCTTTCCTGGCCATCTTCTCGGTCATCGACTCCGAGGGTGCCGTGTTTGACAAGTACATGGCGGGACCTGGATCCGAACTCCCGCCAGGCCCGAAGCGCAGCATGTCGGACTACTTCAAGCGTGTTGCCCTCCGTCTCGGAGGACAAGCTCGGGAACGCAAGGAAGCCGAAGGTGGACAAGGCGGATTGGGTCTCTCCAATGATGAGGTTGAGGATGAGAAGGAATTGTGGAGCATTGGAAAGGTGGATCTTGGGGAATCCTCGTTTGAGGAGTGATTGTAGTTTTTGTTACTCCAGCGTGCATGAGCTAGATCTATACCCCCTTTGTTCCATGAAGGGAAGCATGTTTTCTTTTTCTTTCATCTTATTTCTTGTTGATACATTGGTTATAAAAAGAACTTGAAAAGTTTGTGATGAACAATGCATGATGTTTATTTTCTATGATTCCACAGAGACTTGTTATCTACTATCTACTCCGTACACTGTTAGACTATGCCCTATACTGGCCCGGCTAAACTATAAGGAGTAAATACGTTGATAGAGAGGCACGTGACCACCAGTCGGCCTGTTGCCTCGACCTCCGGATATGGGACTGCCTTGCACCAGGCCATGAGATAAACCGGGATTCGTTTCAGCAGGTGAAATCCATGCGATAGAAGAGAATTCAACTCCCCTTGAGCTGGTGCAATGCAGTCATCATCGTCATAGTTGTTAACGAGGGATGTTGATGACTCATCCCGACTCATACGCCAAGCCCCCGGGCCGGGGCACAAACCCTAAGGTGGAGCGACTCGCTTAGCGACACAGTGGCTTAGCTAATCCGCCGCCCGAGTCTCAAACTCCTCAGCCGTAGGAATTCTCCCAGTCGACGAGTGCAACGAACATCATCCGCCAACGACCGTCGATACGCCGACTTCAAGATGTGAGTTTCATCTCCAACCACAGAATCTCGTCCAACTCGGGGAACTCCTGTCCTTCGATGGCTTCAGTTCCCATGTTCCGGCCTTTCTTTCGCCCTCGTGGGGCTACGCCTCTTCTTATCTTCCCCCCATGCACGCATCCATCTCCAAGGATCTCCTGCTGACCGACGGCTTTTTTTCTGAACAAACAGGGTCAACCTTCGCACCCAGAAGCGCCTCGCCGCCTCCGTGGTGGGCTGCGGCAAGCGCAAGATTTGGCTTGACCCCAATGAGATGAACGAGATCTCCAACGCCAACTCTCGCCAGACCATCCGCAAGCTTGTCAGCGATGGCCTCATCATCCGCAAGCCCGTCACCATGCACTCCCGCTCTCGCGCCCGTGAGCTCAACATGGCCCGCAGAATCGGCAGACACCGCGGTCTGGGTAAGCGCAAGGGTACCAAGGAGGCCCGTATGCCCAGGTATGCTCAAACGACATCCAGTTTTTGATTTCGAGGATCCATGCGCAGCGGAGGAACGGGAAAAAGAAACAAGAGAAAGTTATCTCGGTCGCTTGCAATGTGGTGGACTCGATTACATTCCCGACCGAGATGCGATCGACATGGGGAAATCTGCGTAACATACGGTGAAGGGAATCACAATGTGCTAATGGGTTTCTTTTCTGGAATTTAGCCAGATCCTGTGGATGCGCCGCATGCGTGTCCTCCGTCGCCTGCTCGTCCGCTACCGTGCCTCCGGCAAGATCGACAAGCACCTCTACCACGAGCTCTACCACCTGAGCAAGGGTAACACCTTCAAGCACAAGCGTGCTCTCATTGAGCACGTAAGTTCCGCCTCCGTCTTTGATTTATGGCTCGATACAACATATCTGAAATCCTGCAACGCCGCACTGTACACTTGATGAGGAATTGTTGGACTAACCTATGTTTTTTCCCACGCAACAGATCCAGAAGGCCAAGGCCGAGAGAACCCGTGAGCGTGCTCTCAAGGAGGAGATGGACGCCAAGCGTGCCCGCAACAAGGCTCTCCGTGAGCGTCGGGCTGAGCGCCAGGAGGCCAAGCGCAACGCTCTCGCCGAGGGTCAGGAGTAAATTTCCTTTGTTGACGTTTGACGGCGGTGCGGAGGTTGAAGCAGGGAAGGAACTTGGGAACACTCGATCAGGCAACGGAAACTCGGTCGACCGATTTCCTTTTCTGCTTTGGCTCGATGGTTTGATTCATCCGGGACGGGTCTTTTTTTTGTCATATGGAGAATCTGGATCGGGGAAAAGGGTTCGTTCGGGAAAAGAGCAAGGGGGGATGACGTACAAAAAGCGTTTTTCCTTCCCCTTTTTTCTCTCCTCGGATTGATAATACCAACTTCTGAGAGATGAAAAAGTGAGGATGCCCAGCAAAAGGAAAAGAAAAATATCCCCATCCTATTAAATCAAAACAAATGGCATGGCGCTTTGTGTGATACGAAATCTCGAAATTTTTTTTATTTCATCTTCATCATCTCCCTCTGATGTTTCAAGTCCTCGATAATCTTCGTCCTTACTTTTCCCCTCCCTGACCGGATGTTTTATATCACCTGTCTGTCATCTACCTCGAGTTTCTCTTCTCCCTTTTTGTTTCTTTATCTGCTATCTGTCCTCCGTCACAGCTGCGCTGCACATGTTCTAAATCCTAATGTCGTAACGTCTCTGGAATCATCTCTCTGCTTGCTTCGCTTCTCTCTATGTAGCTTATAAGTCGCACGTCGTACTTCTTCCTATTTCGCTACCCCGTATAGTTAACTTGAGTCTGTGCTTGGTAATTGAACTCGACGATCAGTTCATATAGTTCCCCTCCCATGTTCTGTATTTTTGCAGTCCAAGTATTTGGTTTGGGTCCTTGGATTATTGGTACAATTGACTGATCGGGACTTGAGAGATGGGGTGGAGATAGATGTGTTAACATTGTATATAATTGAATTTGATTGTTGATCGAATGTAGTCAGAGATGCGGATATATATTTGTCTATGGCTATGTGTGATCCGCGGCAAATTATCAAAGATCGTATATACTCATGTGGACCGAGTTTATATATAACCTAACGGAAGGGAAAAACAAGCGTTATATCCAAATACGGTCGGAACTGATAATGAACACAAGAACCTTTGATTTTATGTTCAGATGCTTCATCTGCTTAGGTAAAAGTTCATGTTGGGTGAGAATCAATTCTGATAAATGTTAATACAGCCTATCGAAGACAAGACCGAAACCCCTATCGAATTGGAAAAAACGGGACCGAAAAAAAACATAGAATCGCTTAATAGTACTTATACATTATTCATACAGAGGCGATCGCTCCTCACCTGCTAGAAATGCAATCGTATCGTAAAGTAAGGTAGAATACAGAAGAGAAGTGAAAGCGTTCGTCAGGGCCATGGTGCCTCGTGCGCCATTTTTTCCAATGCATTAGGTTGATGTTCGGGGATGTCCGGGTGGTTGTGCTTTGCAGGATTTCATTCATGGCTCATGTGTTTCATGTCATATCACATAGATGTTCGTTGATCCGAGTCCTCGGAATGGAAAACGAGCAATGAGAAGAAGGAGTTGCTCGCTTCGAGGTGCCATCGGTGCTGGTAATGATTGGAATAGTAGGTGTGTAACCGTGTCCCAATCTTTTTATACCTGAGCCCGGATGACGGTGGAAGTACTATACCGGTCCATTGCCTTAGCAGGGATCTCTAAATCGAAGGGATCGCTGCGGGTACTGGCTCGTGTCACTGGCTCTGTCGGCGAACAGAGTCCTAGTTCGGCTGCCGAAGCACCGTAGCTGAACCGCCGGAGGCTACTTCCGGAGCTGCTACGCCCCGGAAGAATGATGGTGCTGCCAAGGCTGCGATCGCTGCCGTACATGGATCCTTCGTCTCGCATGAAGGGGATTCCAGGGCGTCGATGGCTGTCCGAGGAGGCGAAGGATAGAGGGAGGGACGCGGGCCGACGAGGGTAGCTGGCCCGTCCTGTACGCTGAGGATCATCGAGGAACGGGTATCTAACTGTATTTTTGATGTGGTAGGCGTTTTCTCGTGATGTAGGTAAGATTTCATCCGAGTCTGAGAAAGGATCGGAGTAGTGATTCGGGTGTTGTTGGTTAGAACTATGATGGCCATCGTAGTTGGATATTAGTGGTGCATTAGGTATGTAATTGTACAGTGAACAGTTTGAAGAAGTGTCGGACGCATTTGAGGCATTAGACCGGTGGTCGTGGTATAAGCCAGTCGCAGAGTCTGGTGATTGGCGGCCTTCGTGCAGCGGCTTTTCACTGCCCCCGACACTTTGGCCGCCTTTCGATTTCCGTCGGTTGCGGAGTATGAGAAGACATATTAGAAGTGCAAGGACGAGAAAGGCCGTTGCACCCAGTACGCTGCCTAGGATGGTACGCAGCGAGACACCGTCATTGCTGTCCTCGGACGACGCTGGAGGTTCTCGAAGCGAATAAGTCTGGGAAGGGACGCTTCCAGTGGTTGTTGAGACCAATGTAAAGGACGTGGTGGCATTGACCGTAGGTATGATTGTATGCACAGGTAATGTCGGGCTATTTGAAGGAGTGAAGAGGTCCGGTGTTGAATGGGGTGGCAGTGTGGTGGCATCATTGACACTATCATAGGAAGATGACCGGATGTCCTTTTTTACTTCATCCGGTGCTGAACTGGCGGGTGCTACCGACGGTTTATTTGGAATGGCTGTAATGACTGTAGCGGCCGTTGTCGCCGTTGGAGTGGCGATCACCGGTGCAACATCCGCTGCTTGTGACGTCTGCGAGGCAGTTGTTCCAAGAGTGGGTGGTGGTACTTTTATATCGTATGTGCTGGGAGTGGCAAAGCTGTTGAATAAAGGCCCAACTAGCTGTGTGGGAGCCAAGGTCTCACCCGATACATCAGATGCCGTTGAAGTCAGGGAAGAAGTCAGGGTTGACAAGGAGGTGGTCGACGGTGTTACTTCTGCCGATTTCTTGTGAACTCTGGTACATCGTAGCCCATGATGGAAGATCACCGCAGGGCTCGACATTGACATGTCGCCTAGCTCGGAAGGAGGCTTTGGACGCGACAAATGGCGTAGCTAAACCGAGGAAGGGAGAAGGCAGAACAAGCTGCACAGCATAAAGAAGAACCAGGGGGGTTGTGAGACTAAGTATCACAGGGCGTTTGCACGGTAGTCCGGGGTGTCTAAGCGTCGAGTTGACAAAGTAATCAAGGAATGACTGTGGAAAGAATTAAGGAACGAAAAAGGAATGAAAAATCTTCACAATATGATCAAAGAAAGGAATTGTGAGCATGCTAATTCATTCTCATTGTTTTTTTCTTCGACTCTATGAGGGGCAATCACCAGACTAAGCCATGACAACAGGCGTCTGAGGCGTTTTTGGCCCACGTCGACTGTACCGTTTCAGGAACAGATGGTGAGGCAGAAATGGCACAAGCATGGGATTCTATCACGTTGGCAAGTAAGTATATATTGACAGACAGGCGAAGAAGACAGGGATGAGATACACGGCCCAAAAAGATAAAATCAAAACAAAACAACAAGATCGCAGAAAAATAGAAGAGGATGGCTAAATTGTAATTAAGAGGGGAGATAACGAAAAAAGGGTAAATTTGCTGCTCCTCCAGTCAGGGCGCTGAGAGTCGACTGCGGAGGGACGAACTGGACTCCATCATTCGGTGGAAGGTGAAGCAGGGGATGGGACAAGTTGTTGGCTCGAAGAACGCAACGGGGGAATATATGAAACAAAACCCATCAAGGAGATCCAATCCCTTGTGCAGAACGACCTGCGACGATGGGCGGTGTTAGTTTCTTGCATGGAGGGAGGGGAGCCCCTTTGGCCCCTCGCGCCCCCATCCGAAGGAGGTCAGCCATGAAAAACAGTTTACCAAAAAAGTCAAGGATGTGGGATGTAAATGTATCATATTCTACCGATGAACCTCGTATGGATGGGAAGAAAGGGAAGAAATTGAGTTAGAGTTAAGAGAGAATGCAGAGGGAGATTGGGAGGACTTGAATTGCCTCGTTGGGAATAGTACGGCTGCACGGGACTTCCTGCTGAATAAGAGACAACGCTAGTCCAATAATAGGTTAGCGCAAACTCCTCTCGGAAGACCCGGTCATGTGAGATGATGACTGATCGGGCCGACGATCCCCTTTGAGATGCCTCATAAGAGTCCGTCCTGCGATAAGTTCAACCTTCAACCTTCAAGCCAAACACGAAAACAAAACAAGACGAGGACTCTTCCTACTCCGAGTACGATGACAATGCCTGTATCCCCTGTTCTTTCGATGTTGCAATCACCCTCCAAAGTCCCAATCAGACACTTCAGGGCCAACCAATCTAAACAGTCAAGGATCATCAACTATCCACTCCACTTGACCTCAGCTAGCGATAATCCTGGTGGAGCCCTTCTCGTCCGCTCTTCTGAATGGGTGTCGAAAGCGGAGGACTGAAGGGTGCAACTGCATACCAATTACGTATCTGGTGGTCCGCCCATTCAGCGATGATACAATAGTACATACATGTGGCCTCTCACTTGCAAAGTTGCAATATCAGCCTAGGGGGCCAAAGTCAACCCAAATTTGGATGTGACTGGTACCACGGTACCTCCCACCATGTCATGGCACTCTAATACCGAGGACTGATTGGAATCATAGGATCCTGTAAAGTAGCCTTAACCGTCTCCATCGTCGAGCGTCAACACTAGGGCCGGCTAGTCCGCATATTAACAAGACGCCAAGTTGAACAGAACCAACGGCCGATGGTCTTCTCATTCTCCCCTCTTCTCCTCTCCGCGCCTTTTTGCTTTCCCCCTCTCAGATCATCCGTCTTGCTGCACTTCATTTTGCGTGGCGATACCTTTTCTGGACTTGGTAGTCTTTTTGTTTTTTCTCTTGTCCTTTTCCTTCCTACCCAATTTTGAGTCCGGAGCGAACCCTGGTAGTCGCTGAAACCCCCACCGCCGCCTGATCGCCCTTAGCCCTCACTTCGATCATCTTCCTTCGTGACTGACCTACTCTACTTGCTTTATTGACAGCTGCACAGCCCATGTGATTACTCCATCTTTTTTTGTTTCTAATCGCATCTGACTGAATTCACAGCTTTGGTGTTTTTTGTGATCTATATACTCGAGCTATCCCATTGCCGGCCTTAGTAAAGATCGAGTTTAGTCCTCCTCTCATAAAGTCATCGTATCATGTTCGGATGGGGCGGTGGAATTGGTAAGGCTTTCTTTTCCTCTTCCTCAATAACGTCGCTCCCCACTCTGCTTTTTCAACTTTATCCGCCCAAGTTACAATCACGATGTGGTCAATAATGCGAAGACTCCCTGTCCTACAACACCAATGCCATAAGCTTATGTTAGTCCGGGCTTTCCTCCTGAAACGGTTGCCGCATGCTCGATGGTGAGCTTACAGCTCTCCCCGGCCATGGCACGTTGTACAGCCCCTCGACCTAAGCATCGTGAGGTTTCATCTGCCCATTGATCGACATCAAATGACCAAATTTTTTACTTTGCGCATTGTCTTCCTAGTTCTAGATCAAGTCCATGAAAAAGGCCTATGCATTCCCCTACTGACTGTTTATGCAGGCCTCACGCCAGTGGGCTGTGAGCCTGAGAAAGAACGTCGGCCCCCGTCGGCCCCAACGAGCTTGGACTTCCCTGTCCACATTTCGGATACGACGGGAAACGAGCGTGAATCCTCACTGAGGGAAATAGGCAATATCCTCGGTTCTATCAAAAAGCCGCAAGATATCTCGGCCGAGAAGTTCGAAGCTTTCAATCTGAGGGTAGAGCATGATGTCCCTGCCTCGGCTATCGTACGGCAGGATATCCCCAACTCCTCCCCCCTGCTGCCGTGGGAGGACGACTCCCCAAACCCGTCGCCGTCAACAGACGATGGGTCCCCTATCTTACTGGAAAACGGTAACCCGTATCCGCCGAAGGAGAGATTCGAGGTGCTGAAGGACGAGCTGCTTCTTGACAACGACGATGCCTTCCGAGAGGTTGGCAGGCTACCTCCGCGGGATGGCCGCCAAAGGGTCCGGGTGACGCAGGCGAGAAAGTTCTGGATGGGGTTGGAACGCATGTCGCAATATTGGGATACGAGTTTAGATCGCTACTACGAACGTCCTGCAACACCTCGAAGCAGCACCCCACAGACAGGTCCCGAGGATGCTATGCAAACAGATAGCAAGGTGCCGCCACCCCAGGCCGAGGACCAGACGGGCACAGAAATGAACCTTGACAATCAATCCAATGGCAATGACCTGAAAGACGGACAAGCGGAACTCGTGACGATGTATCAAGGCCGACGTATCGGAACTGGTCATGAGATGCCCGAAGATGTTCGCGAGGAGACGATTCGAGCGTTGACCGAAATGGCCGCTTGGCCCTTCGGGTGCCAGGTAGCCCTTCCCATCATGCCTCCGCGACTCACCCTCGGTACGCTTCTTTTCCCCATTCGGCAGACCTTTGAGGTTGCCAGATCTCCCAAGGATCGACAATTGGCCCGAAGCGGCGTCATGGAAGGGCCTCTACTTGCAGCCCAGTGCCGACCCGAAACCTCCTTTCGAGCACCGCAAGAAGCCGCGGGGTCAGGAATTGGGGAGGTGTGCGATCTCTTTCGAGAGCTAGGAAGCATGCTTCTAGCCGCCCAAGAGCGACTGCGCCAGGGAGCGGTTGAAGTCAAGCCCGGCGAGGGGAAATGGTGGACGATGACCCCCCGGTGGGGTGGCGCCTTCAACGACGTTGTGGGTGACAGTGGCAACTTTAGCCACGGCGAGGATACACCAGCCCTAGACGCCGGCAATTCTCGCAAACGATCGAAATACGACCATCCATTCTTTGCGGCCCGAAGACCAAACGGTGCACGCCGACTGAGCAACGCCGAGAGGTGGAGACTCGTTCAACCAGGGCCTAGTCTTTGGGACCGACGGATGAGGTATATTCAAATCGGGAAGAGCCAGGACAGCGCTTTTGACGATGTAAGTCATTGTGAGAAGGTATCCGCAGAACGACTTGACTAACCCGAAGCGTCATTGAACAGATCTACATGCTCTCCTCGATAAACCACCATCTTGCCATCCTGCATTTGCGCGTGCATCGTCGGTACATTGAGGTCTTGACAACAGGCGACAGCGACTTCCCTCCAGACTCCGATACAGAAGATCAACCGTGGTATGTCCTTAAGATGCGGCGGACCAAATGGTACGATTTGTTCGATGCTCAGGAGCGCCTGGAGGTATTCAAGGGAATATGGACCATATTCCATTACATGCTTCGTCGGCCTTGAGATTATTTGCTGTCACCCTATCTAGCATCTTTGTCTTTTCAGCCAGTTTGTCGCAATGAAAGACTTGTTATATAAACTGGTATTCCCATTTATGTTATTCACATTCTGATCACCCGTACAGACAAGCTGGGTCGTCGAAGCAGTTGAAGTATATAGACAGAGGATTACGACTCGCACAGCAGTCAGATGAAAGATTTATTGAAATTGCATATATAAAGACTACGCCGCGTAGACTTCAGCTTGCTTGCTCGCAAATCAGCTGTTACAGGACTCGGGACTCTTTAATCCACAACACGAGACTCGGAAATCATTTCAAGGTTCTATCTTTCTTCTTGCCTCCGTGCTCCAGCTGTCCTTACCCCTACTTATATCAATAGACCATCACTACCATAGACGATCAAAACCAATGCACAAACAAACAATCTACCCCTATCCAACCAACCCATAAACCATCCCAGCCCCTTTCCAGCATACACTCGGATGGGATGACGGCCAATCAACCGCCCTCCTAAGCGCCATGCATCCCGTCCCTTCCCTCCCTTCAAACCCGCCCCTTTCTCATCCCTTCCGATGGCCAGATCGTGACGCCATGATTGGCAAATCGACAGAACGACGTTTTTGATCTAATCCCAACCCAGTAGACAGATGTGTTTCTCCACACGAATCCTTCCCTCCTTTTCCCTCAACATTGGAGAGTAAATCGACCAGTCGATTAGGTATAGGTAGCCTCCTCG